AGTTTATATTTTGCCAGAAGTCAGATGATGGAAGAATTATAGTGTGAAGAGTAAGATTGAGAGGATCTATAGGCAGCTGTACACGTTATAGTTGGAGCCACACGTACTCGTAAGACACCAAGTGAGTAACGATGCAAGAGCTAGTCTTATCCGATATTATTCCGAAGAAACTTCACTTTCAAAGACCTACCTTTCGTTATTTTTAAAAGGAAACTCACAGAATGGCTGGAAACAAAATGTTTTTATAGTGTAGACGAATATATGACATAAAGAAATCTACAATAATGGTAATAATGGAAAAACTGATTAATATTTTTTTGTCATTTGATATTTATTTTATTTGTTGACATTTTTCAATTTTTTTAGATACTTGACATTTATGTATGATCATTTACATAATTAATTAAATTTTGACATGTATTTATTGTAATTTAAAAACTTGGTGCTGAAATATTTTTAAAAGATTACATCATTGTTTTTCTTCAATAATTTAACATCATAAAATTTCAATAATATTTTTTGTATATTGTAAAGATATTGCACGTCAATATAATGGTAGAATGTAAGGTCTCATTAATAAAATTAATTTAATGAATGAACGAATGAATGAATGAATGTAGTACATTATAATATTATGTACTACATTCTGGCAATGAATAAATGAATTTGAATTTGAAATCCCGGACGTCAGTCTGATCGAGATTAGAATGACTCTCCAGCATCTAAAAAACGGCAAGTCTCCGGGCGAGGATGGAATTACAGCGGAGCTTCTGAAAGCGAGTTGAAAACCGATACTTAAAGTCCTTCAGAAACTCTTCAATTCTGTCCTCCATGGTGGCACTACTCCGGAGGCGTGAAGCAGAAGTGCAGTGGTCTTGTTCTTCAAGAAAGACGACAACGCTCTCTTGAAATACACACCGATTTCCCTTCTGAGCCGCATCTACGTGCTGTTTTCGAGAGGCATTACGGATCGTCTCGCACCACGGAGCAAAATTTGCTCCGTGTCTCGCACGCGTACTCGACGACTTGCAGCCTCCCGAATAAGCCGGTTTCCGAAAAGGCTTTAGCACCATAGACCACATTCATACTCTTCGGCAAATTGTACAGAAGACTGAAGAGTAAATCTGCCTCTTTATCTTGCGTATGTGAACTATGAGAAAGCCTTTGATTCCGTCAAAATTTGAGCGGTGCTACAGTCCCTTCAGCGGTGCCAAGTTGACTGTCGGTATATCGAAGTGCTGAAGTGTTTGTACAGTAGGGCTACGATGGCTATCCGACTACTGAACCAGACTACGAAACCTATCCAACAGCAGAGATGTGTAAGACAGGGTGACAAACCGAACCCAAAACTCTTCACCGCTGCATTGGAAGACGTTTTTAAGCTAATGCACTGGAAAGGATACGTAAAAGGATACGTATTAACGTCAATGGAGAGTACATCGCTCACCTTCGATTTGCCGACGATATAGTCCTTATGGCAGAATCGCTGGAGGACCTAAGCACTATTTTCGTTGACCTCAATAGTGTCTCCCAACGGATAGGTTTTAAGATGAACATGGATAAAACAAAAGTCAGTGTAATGTCCATGTCACACCTATGCTGGTGGTTGTTGGGAGCACTAAGCTCGAAGTTGTTGTCGATTATATTTATCTGGGACAAGTAGTCCAACTTCGACCGATTCAACTTCAATCGACGGATTCAACTCGGCTGGGCAGCGTTCAGGAAATTACGACACATCTTCTCGTCAGGCATACCTCAAAACTTCAAAACTAGATTGCACAACCAGTGCGTGTTGCCAGTGATGACCTATGGATCTGAGATGTGATCCTTCACTGCTGGCCGTATGAGGAATCTCAAGGTCGCTCAGCGAGCTGTGGAGAGGGCTATATGTTCGGCGTTTCCCTGCTTGATAAACTTAGGAATTAGGATATCCGCAGTAGAACCAGAGTGACTGACATAGCCCAACGGATCCCACCACAAGATGGAGTGCGACCTGGTAGGACGTGCAGGAAGTCGATGGATGCAGGTGGCTGCGGACCGTGCTTTGTGGTATTCCTTGGGGGAGGCCTATGTTCAGCAGTGGACTTGTGAAGGGCTGTAATGAGAGGTGAGGTTCGGTTGTGATGAATAGTGATCTTAATTTAGATAATTTTTGTCGTATGATCGTTAGTTTTTTCGACGTTTGTAATTTTGAGTTAACGAATAATGAACAAAATTCCCTTGTAGTCATAGCAACTGATAACAGTGGGGTCATGAATCACGAAGGCGGCAGACCTGGTCTTAGTGGACTTGCACGTTGTATTTTTTACAACTTTATAGTGCATTTCAGTAATTAAAAACATTTTTTTATTCAATCATTATTTTTAACCGACTTCTCCGGTCCTCAACCGGTTTCTCAATATATATATATATATATATAAAAGGAAAGAGGGTTTCGACTATATATATATATATATATATATATGTGGTTTTTTTGGGGTTTTTCCTTAGGGGGGGTTTGGGGGGGGGGGGGGGGGGGTGTTTTGTGTGCTATCTCAGAACTTTTTCTAAGTGAACTGATTTTGATGATTCTTTTTTATTTAAAAGCCGGTGCTTCTCATGTGGTGCCATATAAATTTGTCAAGATCTGACCAGTAGTTTTTGAGTTATCCTTAATAATGCGTATTTAATTGACTTCGACTACGTTAATGACGTTCTCATTTTATTTATATTGAAGTCGGTTGTACAAAATTTTTAATTTTGCCCCTTGTTTAATGATATGAGTAAAAGGACGGTCGTCGTAAGGGATCAAAACGAATTTCGTACTCTCCAAAACGGTACTTTTTGTATTTATATCGTGTACTCAAATCCGTTTGTGTTTCCTTTAGCCATCATGCTTACTTATAATAGCAGAAGTTTTTCATCACTGCTTAATGCACTCTGAAGATGATCAATCTATTCGGAAAACAAAACGTGGCCACTTTTTCTGTCGAACTGGCCGCTCTTCCGCCGCAGACTTCCAGCAGAACTGATGTGTAGCATCTGGTAGCACCGCTTTTCCCGCTATATCGCCTCTGTGTAATCTGAGCTTTAAAGTTAGGCTGGAATTCCTCTTCAGAAAAAAGTTTAAAAATAAATCGAAATAATCCTGGCGTACACTATATTAATACTATAGACGGAAATGTAAAAGATGTAACTCGATTACTCGTTATTTAGATGCATTGCATAAAAGGCCACATTTTTATTAGGTGAAGCCAATGGATTATTGTGCTCATATCACGCATTACTATAATACCAAACGACCTACAGCTTAATTTAAAGCGGTTAAAATTCCTATTAAAAGTAGCATTTTCTATGACAACAAATCCTGGGTTCATCAAACCTTGAAAGTTATTAAATTTGGGAACGCTATGTTTTTTCATATGCGCATAACATAAGCTCTACATAGCTTGCTTACGTGTTTCTAGGGCTCATAATCTGCACATTTTCGCTAAGTTAGTCATTTAAAAAAGCCAACTGTTTAATGCAGTTCAAAGAAGTGTATTTCTATAGAGGGTTGTGCAACTTTTTTAAATTTTGTATTTAGAAACAATTTCAGCAATAAAAAATTGTCGACTTTTAAATGACCGTGAGCGGAGCTGCAAGTAAAAGCTAGTTATATAATAATGGTAATATTTTTTTATTTACCTGAGTATTAAAATTAAAGATCGTTCTTTTAAAATAGCGGAGGTGGCTTTTGAGGACTGCGAAATACTGTCTTATAATTATAATATAAAATAACAAGACGAGAGAAACACACTGCTATAATAGAGCTTAAGTTACTATAGTATTTGCCTATCTTGTATGTTAAATATGTTTAAATGGAGGCTTAAATGATATTGTAAAAGTAGATTTTAGTTAACACACGTAGACTATATGTGTGTTTGTATCTAGGTATAATTGAACAATGTGATCTGTGACTCCCTGACAAGCATGTCGCAATCGCAGTCAATCCACTCAATTGCGTTACATAAATTAAATACTGACAATGTTGATGACACCAAAATACGTTAAGGTGCCGTTGGTGTGATTGCACATAAAAGATCACACCAACGGCACCTTGACGTATTTTGTCTCACAGCAATTACCTCCTAGAATGCTTGTATGGTTTACTCTATGGTCCACGAGGAATGGGCGAATCAGTACCGAAAACTATTCCACCTCAATTTTTTATGCTCTTCGAATTGTCCTACTGATGATATAAATTATAAATACATGCAGTATCTGAATTTAAGATTTTTCAAACATTTGAAAATTTATAACTCCAAAATATTATCTTAAGAAATCAAATAATTAATTTATTTATTTTTTAATTTTATCGTAGGAAATCAAAGGACCTCATATATTTGTATTTCATCAAACAATATAAAAAATATATTTTTCATTTTATTCTTTTTAGGGTTCCGTAGTCAACTAGGAATCTCTGTGACCGTTAGCACTAGAAAGCTGAAATTTGGTACCAATATGTGTATCAATCACGCCGACAAAGTGGTAAAATAAAAATTGGAAAAAATGTTTTATTAGGGTAGCCCCCCCTATATGTAAAGTGGGAAGTGATTTTTTTTTTAATTTCAACCTTAACTGTGAATAGTTGTGGTTGTTAAGTGGAATAGTTTTCAGTACTCATGCGACAATTCCTCCTAAACTACGAGTAGTACTGAGGTTGTTATGTTTTTCTTCATCATCTTGTATTACTACGCTTTATCTCTATATATAAAAATCTCCGTTAGTCTCACAAAAACTCAAAAATGGCTCGAACGACTTTGATGAGATTTTATGTGTGTATTTGAGAGGGTCCCTGAATGGTTTAAAAACTCATTTAGACACGGTAGGTGGTGCTGTTGTTGAGATCCAGAAATCCCCCTTGCGAAGTCGGTGTCGATCACTAGTAATTAATATTTTTCCTTTTCTAATTTCTAGCCTGTGATGGTGCTCGCAATTTACACATGCCTCCGCAAGCGATGAACACTACCACCACAACAATGCCTACAATGATATCACGATTGCCGGAGCCCCTCACCATCGTGCAGGAGATACCAACAGCTCCCCAGATGACTTGCACCGAGGCCACCAGCTCCACCAGTCCGCTAGGCCGCTTACGCAGCGCCATGAGGAATATTAGTTACACACAGATGAACGCATTCTTTGATGCTTTCCTGGTGTTTTACAGTGATGAACATCTGGTAAGTTATGCACATTGAATTGAATTATTTAGATATGTCTTAGTATCTTTAGATAAACCGAATTTTTCCGCGAAAATCTAGGGATATCGCGAAAACACGGATAATTAGACAACGGCTATATGCAAGATTGAGAAATGTTCTCAATCTTACTGAAAAAAGATTAGGGGTTTTGCAACTTTGAATATACTTAACTGATTGGCTTGATTTTGGTTTATAGGTGTATACATTATTAATAATGATTTTTTTTAAATCATACCCTAACTTTTTACAACGGAATCTTGACCCAAAGTAACTTCCGTAACAGCTTCAGTAAATCTTCACACTTTCGTAGTAAAATCGCAGGCACCCGTGAGAGCCGCAGCGCCTGACCAATAAGCCAAAGCGCTGGGGCTGCTCTCCATCCGCGCCTACAGCAAAAACCCTCTAGGGGCAGGGCAGACAAGACTACGTGGAGTCGGGGAATGCTGATCCGTTTTTAGAAGAGTTTCGACCAATCGTCTAATTATCCGTATTTTCGCGATATCCCTTGATTTTTGCGGATAATTCTCTGTATATAATTGTCACACGACAGATATAGGTATGTTACAAAAATATGCGCTAGTAAAGAAGAATCAGGATCTGAAAAAAGAAAACATAGTTTTTACACAAATCATGTTTTTTTTTCCATTAGCCATTATAACTCTCAAGTAGTCAGTTACTTGTGATAACTAGGCTAATAGATTTTCTTAGATACGAGTAAAATATTTGGGCATCTCAATAAATAAAGCTTGCTTTAAATTAGGCGTGGCACACACAAACTAACTAAGCGTGCGACATGCAGTCACGGTAATTTTATATAGATAATATTACCGTGATACAGTGGACTTTTTTTGTTACTTTATTTGAAATGTTTTTGTTTATTACACGGAATGGTATTCTTTGAGGGATATTCAGCAGTGGAGTTGTGAAAGGCTGTAATGATAAATGATGATGATGAATGATTATCAAGAAATAAGTAATCTATATAAAAATGAAGCCCAATTAAGTACTAATTCAATAATATGCATTTCATGTTATTGAAAAATATTATAAGGTTTATCGTTTAAAAAATAAGTCCAACAACAAAGTTTTCTGGCGATAAATTATAAATTTTTAACACGATCAGTATTTTAAAAATCCAACCTATTATGTATTTAATAGAGTATTTCATGTATGATAAACTATTTCAAGAAGTATCAATTCTAGAGCGTCAACATAATATAAGCCAACCTGGCTTATATAAAAAATAACTAAATCGGAATACAAAAAATTTCCGTTACCACCGTACCGCAGAGTGAGGAACCTTCGGCGGAGGAACGTCGTCTAGAGTACATCAGCGGCTGGGAGGGTGTTGGCACTGCAGCGGTGGTGGCCGACGGTGGCGCCGCACTCTGGGTGCCCAGTAGCGACGTGAGGCGTGCTCGAGCCTCGGTGTCCTGCGCCTGGCTCGTGCTAGATGAGAATGACATTAACCAGCCAACGATCGCCGAGTGGATAGCGGTATGTCAATTCTTGTTAGGGTGTTACCACACCTATCGATCGATCATCGATTGGTGGCATCGATAATACTGGCCAACAATAACACGTCCTCTACTGAATACATTTTGAAAATACTGATGGTGAGCCCACAACCACATCGATTAATTGTTGATCGATGATTGAACAACGTTTTATTGACCAGTATCCGTCGATCAGCTAAAGCTACCACACCAATCGATCGACATCGATCGACGTTGAACAATGGCATCGATCGATTGGTGCGTTAACGCCCTAACGAAAATTCTATTTTACCGGGGGTTTAAAAAATCTGTCGTTTTGGTTCGTTCGTAGTGTAAAGACTGATTACACAGGGACAGTAACAGGTGCCAGTGCTGGCGCCGAGAACTGATTCACACTGTTTACATGCAGCTGGTAGTCGTGGTAACTTCTTCACGGTATACATAAGTTATTGAAGTCAGTGAGAAAAAATTAATTCACGGAAACGGCAGAATTTATAACGATTGAAATACTTGTTGCGAAAATGTTCCTATCCGCTGTTGAAAGAGTTGACGGAAATGTTACAAGAACTATACTAATCAAAAAAGAAAGTACTTTGTATAAGAAAATATAAGTAATTAATATAAATAAATGTAATATGCATGCTTTCAGTAACATAAGAAATTCGTTAATTTACCCTCATTTACTAATCTATATATTTTATAATTTGATGATAGTACGTAGCGATGTCACCCTACAAAACTAGCAAGCCATAGATTACTGTATGTATACTTGGGAGACCAAGCACTGACTTGGTCCTTGGTCGTTAGATAACATCAATACCGCTGGCATGGATGGCGGGGGGAGTAGAATGACTTCAAAATATTCAAGCAGGAATATTGAAGTCAGCACTGGTGCGACAGCAATTTACTGTCTCCAAATCGATGTTACATTATGCCAGTAATGGGTCAGCACTGACTTGCTTTGAATTTGGAGCCAATTACTGTCCCTGTGTAAATCAGCCATTATGTTTAACTACACTAGCCCTTTATATTTAACTATACTAGCTGTTCCCCGCGACTTCGCCCGCGTGTAATTTAATTAGTAAATTTACGATTTGATTTCAAGGGTTTTAATTTTTTTGCGTGTAACTTTAATTCTTTTTCTGAAATAAAAGTAAGTAAGCCTAAGTTACTCCTTATAACTTCAGCTATCTGCCAGTGAAAGTCCCGTCAAAATCAGTCCAGCAATTTCGGAAATTAGCCGGAACAAACAGACACACAGACAGAAAGACAGACGGACAAAAAATATTTAAAACTGTGTTTGTTTTTATAAGTATTGTACATAATTTCATATGTATTTAGTACAAAGCTGTTATTTTGACAATACAAACAGACACTTCAGTTTTATTTGTTTGTATAGATTATGTTATATTATATTAACAATCTTTTTATTGCGTAGTCCACGGCTGTGCTGCTTGAGATGGGACTTTCCCCTTTTTCGGAGGATTTGCCTTAAGGTAGGAAGATAGGACCGCAGTAGGCGTAACTCAACGACTACACAGCCCGAACTGTGTATTGGTTGGCGTTACTGCACAGCAGCGGAACTGAGCGACACGAGTTGGTCAGTTGATCAACTTTTCCGCGCAGTTCTGCTGCAGTGTAGCTCCGTTGGCACTTAATGCGTGTTGTCTCATATAATTTCATATAAAGAATATTTTGACGCGTCGTGTCGCTCAGTTCCGCTGCGGTGCAGGTCCGCCTAGTGCTTTAACCTTAATCGTGACTCCAAGCAGGCTGATTATGCCGCGAACATTTGACGCTGCCCGTCGCCAGTCTGGGAATTTTACCTCTGGAGTAAAGAAGATTGATATGTCTATCGGTGGTGATAAAATTATACTGGCGTTTCCCATAGTCGGTTTTTATGACCAGGGAACGAAATGGGACGGTGTATTCTCTTACGTAATTACCACACGGCACACGACATGCAGCACACGTCATTATAATACGACATTGTACGATTTTTTCAAACTTGTCAATAAAACTAACGCAAGCTTCAATTCATCATTCATCATCATTATTAAAGCCCTTCACAAGTCCACTGCTGAACATAGGTCTCCCCCAAGGAATGCCACAAAGCACGGTTCTAAACCATCTGCACCCATCGTCTTACCAGATCGTCACTCCATCCAGCGGGAGGTCGCCCTACACTACGCCCACCGGTACGAGGCTGCCGCTCGGGAACCTTTTTTCCCCATTGGTTGTCGGTTCTTCGAGCTACATGATCAGCCCGTTGCCACTTCAGATAAACTTAGAAGCTTCACTTACTATAATAATATTCACAAATTAAAACAACAAACTGTAGCTACTATATTTAAGTGAACAAAACATTTGGAATTTAAACATCCATTTAGTGGAACCAGAACCTGATTTAGAATTCCGACAGCCCTAGGTTAACTATTAACTATTAACCCTCCCATATTGAACATATAATATTATAATATAACGGAGCCTTAATTTTTTTAATTTTACTTTTTTATAGTTAAATAGTTTATTTCTTTCAGCACTTTGCTGTAGGTTATAACTGTGAAAAGTTTGAACTTACGAATAAATAACAAGGTAAATATAAGGCATAATAACAAGGTAGAGACGAATTTAGCTCAACATATTTTATTTAATAACTTAGGTATCGTAGAAGCAGGCGTTATCTTGTATTTCTCATCGCTAGGATTATTTCCTTTTTTTATTCTTGTGCTAGGAGCGTCCGGGGCGCAACGGACGAGTGGGCGGCGACGCGAGGCTGACCTCCGTGAACGAGTGGCAGAGCCTCGTCACTAACCTGCAGCGCGAGGGCATGCAGCTCATACACGTGCCGACCCTGCTCGATCAGCTCTGGAGCGAGGAGCCCAACCCGGCGCTGCGACGACCTGAGTTCTCAAGGATCGTCGCCAATTTGCATCACTTGGAGTACACCGGTCAGTTTTACAAAATTTCAAAATCTTCTTCTTTTTCATCTTCTTAATTTACTGAACTTGAATTAGAATAGTTATTACTGAACTTGAATTAGAATAGTTAAATATAATATATAAATATTTCGAGCTCATCCGTGAAAGCGTAGAGGCTAAACGCTGAACGGCACTACCACAGTCTATAAATCCATATATATTATACTGTGGCACTACTGAATTACTTTACTTGTATATTCTGAATTTTTTACCTCGTCAACCCCATCAAATATGATCGACGGCCTCTGCTCAGCAGCCTGAAGTAATAATCTAAATGATGAAAATGGTTTCCGCATAAAGACGGTTTATAGAATCACTGTGTTTTAATTTTAGGGTTCAAAAATGCAGAGTACTAAGACCAAGGAATCAATTACTCTTGCAATTTACTACTTAAGCTTTATTCGGTACTTATAAGTGAACGCATTCGAAAAAATATTTTAACAATAATTTTTTTTAGTGTTTTGCATTAAAATATGCGCATACTTACCACGTTTTATAAAAACTGATTTTATATATATACATATATATATATATATATATATATATATATATATATATATATATATATATACACTATATATATGTATATACATATATATATATACTGGATGATATAGCCTATGGTGCAGATATTTTACAACAAATAAAAACAAAATTTTATAAATATCCATTTATTAAATGGTTTGCAGTGCTAATTTTACGAGCTGAAAAATATGAGCCTTACGAAAGTAACAATTTTTATTCAAATTTCATTTATGTACAACCCTTTTGCATATTTCTTAACATTTCTTTCGTAGGAATGACATGGCGTGACAAGGTAGTGGTTATACGTAACGAGCTACGACAATTAGGCGCAGACGCGATGGTTGTGACAGCACTGGACGAGGTAGCATGGCTGCTGAACGTGCGGGGCCGTGATGTGCCCTACGCTCCGCTCCTGAAGGCGTTCGTCATAATCAGCATGAAAGACGTCCGCGTGTACGCGCCGCCCGGGAAGCTCTCCATGCCTGTGCGTGAAGCGCTGGCGGTGTACAACTGCTACGCTTCTGTTAATAACTGTACGAGGTAGGACAAATTATTTGAAACAACAATCTTCAATATTTTAATAGGGTAATTTTTCCGTGTAATTCGAGTTTCTTACAGGGCTGTTCTGTTCCTTACCTAGTGTCTAAACGAAGATAAATTTTAGCCAAAACCGATTGTTCGTCTAAATTATAAATTTCATTCGATGCCGGAAATTCAAAACCAAACATAACTGACGAAATGGAACACTGGATAAAAAGTAGGTATCTATACATAAGTACTCTAATAATATAAACTTTGGTTCCGGCAGGGATTTGAACGCAGGGTCCTGAAGTTTTACATAGCTTTGGGGCCTCTGCAAAAGTGACAGCCTATATACATCCCACTACTGGGCACAAGCCTCCCCTCATTTCTGAGAGGGTTTTAGGGCAAGGAAGTGTCCGCCGCGCTGCCCCAATGCGTGTTAGCGAACTTCACATGTCTTTGAAATATTTTTTCTTATTCATCAGACGTTGCCAGGTCGAGTCGTCGTAGGTGGCAACCGAACCTCCACCGGAGATTCTTAGCACCCCCTGCCTTGCCATGATCCATGATGTTACCATGGTCGCCACCGTAGCCAGGAATAGCGGGGCCGCCGGGGACTGGGGGCCGTTTATTTGTGTCGTTGCTCATGGGGGGATATTTGCCATAGTTGCCACGCTTGGCGAGTGGGTTGGCAACCGCAGTTTTTTATTATGTTATTGTTATTATTAGGAAGATGCTGCTGCCCATCTCCTTTCTGTGTCCCTCTGTCGCCTCTTACGACACCCACGGGAAGATATGGGGTAGTGGATATTCTCAACCGCCACTACACGGCTAACGCACGCACCCTGAGGACTGACGAGAAGATACTGGAGCTGGAAGAAGAGGTAGACAAGTTGCGCTGGCATATTATTGGATTATCTGAGGTCCGAAGAGAGACTCGAGGATTACCGTGTGCTCCACACGGTAATCCTCGAGTCCGGCAACTTGTTCTATCATCGGGAGGGCGACCATCTGTCCCAAGGAAGTGTCGGATTTATCGTCCACAAGTCTCTCGTCAACAACGTTGTAAAGATTGGGAGTGTGTCGTCGAGGGTCGCGTACCTGATACTCAGAATCACCAAATGGTATTCGCTGAAGGTCATACAGGTCTACGCACCAACCTCGGCACATCCCGATGAGGAGGTGGAGGTAATGTATGAGGACATTTCTAGAATCATGCATTCCTCCAAAACCCACTACACGGTGTTGATGGGAGACTTCAACGCAAAACTAGGCACAAGAGAAGGCGGTGAGCTGAACTTAGGGAAATTTGGAGTAGGGCAGACGGAACCGTAGGGGCCAGAGTGGTGACTTAGAGAAAAGAGGACTCTTTATGATGAACTCTTTCTTCCAGAAGCGGCCCCACAGGAAGTGGACCTGGTCGAGCCCCGACGGTTCGACAAAAAATGAGATTGACTTCATTATGACGACCAGACGCCAACTGTTCAGTGATGTCTCAGTGATCGCAAGGGTGAAAACCGGCAGCGATCACCGAATGGTTAGAGGTACACTGAACTTAAACGTTAAGTTGGAAAGGTCTCGTCTAATGAAGTCAACGCTCCGTCCCTCTCGTGCTCTAATCCAGAATCCCGAGACTTTTCAGCTCGAGTTACGTAACCGCTTTCAGTGCCTAGAAGATTGCAATGCAGTGGACGATATGAATGACAAGCTCGTGGAAACTGTCCATGCGGTCGGAGCTAAGTTATGCAAGACCCGCCGCAGAAGAACACAAAAACTCTCCGATCACACTCTTAATCTCATGGCTGTTAGACGGGAGATGAGGCTGCAATCGTCAACAGATTTGACAGCATACAGGCAACTGAACAGACAGATCTCCAAATGCATGCGGCAAGACTTACGCAACTTTAATACTGCTCGTATTAAAGAAGCGATCGAGCGGAACCAGGGCTCCAAAGTCTTTGCCAGAGATCTGTCTGCCAGAAAGAGCCAACTGTCAAAGCTGAAGACTGAGTGTGGCAGCATCGTTTCCGGGACACCTGAGATAATAGACTGGCTTTATTGTAATAATTTACGGATTAATATGAAAAAAACTAAAATGATCCAATTTCAGACATACCAGAGAAAACTATTGAATATTAATGTTAAATATAATGATAAGATCATCGAACAAGTAGCAAGTACTAAATTTCTGGGTATAATGTTGGATCAAAATTGCGACTGGAAAACACATGTCGATTACGTTTGTGACAAACTCGACAGATTTGTCTACGCAATAAAGAGTGACTGCTGCTCTATGTGCATATCACGGATATGTTTCGTCAGTACTATCATATGGTCTTTTATTGTGGGGCAATTCAGTAGATATAATAAAAGTATTTAGATTAAAAAAAAAAAATGTGTGCGTGCAATCTATGGAGCAGGGTATACGGATAGCTGTAAGCCCTTGTTTAAAAAGTACAATATCTTAACATTAACATGCTTGTACATTAAAGAAATATGCATATTTGTAAAACAGCATCCTGAACACTTTGAAAGGCAAATAGATGTAACTGAACGAAATGTAGCTCCTAGAAATAAACATAAATTATACTTACCTCAATGCAGGCTCAAATTGTATGAAAGGAACTCTTACGTAAATGCTATAAAGGTGTATAACAAAATACCCAACGACTTTAAAGAGTTACCTTTAACCACGTTTAAAAAAAAGTTAATACAATGGTTAAAAGAAAAATGTTTTTACGATCTAAACGAATTTATGTCTTTTAGTGGAAAATAAATCCGAAGTCAGTAATATTGATATATATCTAATAATTAATTAATTACAAACAAAATGAAAGTATGGACATTAACACTTAAGAACAACCATTAAACAATGTGACATTTTAATTGAATTCCCACTTGTAAATTTTTTTTTGCATGTATACTAATTAAATATTTGCACACCATATAAAATGGTAGAATGTAAATGGGCCATTATTCATAATTTAAGATCATACTTTATTGTACACATACATTCTGGCAAATAAATGAATTTGAATTTGAGATTTTGAGTGAGATTGAGAGGTTCTATGGGCAGCTGTACACATCATCGTTGGAGCCACACGCAAGTGTGAGTAACGATACAAGAGCAAGCTGAAGTGGCAATGGGCCGGCCATATAGCTCGAAGAACCGATAACCGATGGGGAAGAAAGGTTCTCGAGTGGCAGCCTCGTACCGGTAGGCGTAGTGTAGGGCGACCCCCCACTAGATGGAGTGACGACCTGTTAAGACATGCAGGAAGTCAAAGGATGCAGGTGGCTCAGGACCGTGCTTTGTGGCGTTACTTGGGGGAGGCCTATGTTCAGCAGTGGACTTGTGAAGGGCTGTAATGATGATGATGATGATGATTCATCAGACATGCAGGTTTCCTCACGATGATTTCCTTTACTGCCGAACACTTGGTAAATGAGCACTTAAAATTGCAATTAACAATTTCATTGGTGCAGGCGGGGATCGAACCCAGGTTACTCGCGTTCTGTTATATTTGCAGCGAGCGTTAACCATCTGAGCTATCACGCTCTTCAAATCTCAATCCAAACCTTCGGCCGAGTCCTTATTGACGGATCACCTTTAAGTTTGCTTATAAAGCCAGAAGGGAAAGACTATGCGTCTTGGCTTAAACCACCATCAGTGGTAAGAAATACGTTACTCGTAAGTAAATTTTCGAAATGAGACATTCATCGGATACATTATATCGAACTTCATCAAAAGCTATTTATTCGAAATCTTGTGATGTTCTCCTGGATGATTTCGATACAAGGCAACTTTTTTAAATCTGAAGTTTGTCCTTAGAGCCACGTTGCAGCTGTATAGTATTATGGACTCACGAATGGATCGGCTTGATCGGGGAAGTACAACGTTCTCACAGGATACCAGCATAAAATGGAGCCAAATTCTCGTTTCTCGTACGTCTAGAGAAACTGAAACTCTTTTTACTGATAACGAGGCGTTCCAACTTAGTGAGTCAACTTAGCCATCAGGAGTGACTACGCATTTTACTCTGATCAATAGAATGTAGTAATCACTTATTATCAGATGGACTGTGTGCTTGTTTTAAAAAGAAAGTTAAAGTTTATGGATTTTTCTGTTCTAATTAGGTTTACTTTGATAACTTCTAAATTTGATTTCTCTAGGGTCAATGAATACACGACCATATATTCGGACCTCCGACGAGCTAGTGAAACAAAGATCCTGATCCCTACCGGTGGCACCTTCCAACGAGGAGCATCCGCTGCTATCGCGCAAAGTGTCCCGCAGTCCAAAAGACTGTTTCAGCCATCTCCCATCATCTATTTGAAGGCGCAGAAAAACGAGGCTGAGATAAAGGGGATGAGGAAAGCGCATTTGCGTGACGCCGTCGCAATGTGCACTGTCTTAAGTTACATTGAGGGCATGGTAAGTGAAATTGAGTAGGAAGTAATGTAGTAAGTGAATTATAGTTTATACTTTATCAAGTTGTTCATAACTACTATTCAACTACCAATAGGTAATGTCGAAAATCCGGAACGTTATAAATCGTACATACGTAGGACACTCAATAAGTTATGAGATATACAAAAAGTATTCTAGATACTATTAATATTTATTTTACATCCTTTAAAATAGTTCAGTGACAGCTCGGAAATCGCTTCTTCGTAGGCACGGCTTCATAGGCGTTTGAAAAAAACTTGCCTTTTATTTTTTCTTTGACTCTTGGGAACAAAAAGAAATCATAAGGAGCTAAGTTAGGGTTGTAGGGTGGGTGACTTAGAGTTTCAACACCGGATTCCTCAATAAATGCTTTTGTTCTAAGGGAGGTATGTGAAAAGGCGTTATCGTGATGCAGCACGATTCCCCAAAGCCCGGTCTTTGGTCTTCTCTTCCGCACAGCTTGAAAAGATTTGGATAATGTAACTGTAGTATACCATTCAGAGTTAACATACCTACAATTTTCCAGCATTGACGTCGACAAATGTCCGCTCCTCGAAAAAACTAGCCACCATTTTAGGTCTCCTCAGTTTTGTCGGTAACTGTCCTTCTGAGTAGACCCATACCGATGATTGCCTTTTATTTTCCGGATCATAATGATATATCCATGTCTCGTCACCAGTAACAATTTCTGAAACACGTCTAGATGCCCCGTTTACAAAACGTAGCCGCATTTCATGGCACCAATCCACACGAGTCTGTTTTTCGCTTTTGGAGAGCAAACGAGGGATCCATCGACAACAAAGCTTCCACACTCCAAGATGTTGATGTGGGATGGTATGAATGCTCCCTGAACAATGCCTAATCTTTTCGATGAAATGTCCGTATATGTGATTCGTGGATTTTCTCGCACCAACATTTCGGTAGTCCATACATTTTCTGTCGTTACTGCTGTTTGTCAACGGGGCCCCCCGGTTCTTTGGTCAACTTTAAGGTTAATTTAACCCTTTTGAATTCAGCAAATCACCTAAAAATTGTTGCGCGTGATGGAGCGGAGTCCTCTAATGCTGATTGTAACCGTCGTAAACATAATTATTCGGTTAAACCAAATTTAAAATAATAATAGATCATAGCAAGCAATTGTTCGCAGTTAAGATCCATTGTTTTAAACGAAAAGCGCGGGAAGCGTTGCAGGAAAATTAATAGAACTTTGTTTTTTTTTATATTGAGCAATTGGCTTATGGAGTTCTATTTTTAAATAGATTTGCTTTTTAGAAACATATAATACGGGTGCGTTTCATTATTAAATTTCGAGCATCTCAAAATGTATTGAGTGACCTACGCAGCAATGCAATGTTAATTTGCAATGCAGTCGTGCTTTGTTACGGCTGCGAAAATGTCGAGAATCACAACCAGTTTTAGAATTTCAGAATTCAATCTCAATTTAGAGTATATATAAGCCAAGCTTATATATACTAAAAGGGGTCTCAAGTATTGAAAATTAGTTCTGGCATTTAAATTCTTCCAATATTGCACGTACGGTGTCTCGGTGCTCGGTAGGCGTAGGTGTAGGTACAATAACACTTCCGTTGGCGATTTATTTATTTTCCGTGATCTTAAAACGGCTTTTTCACCGACGTCATCGATATATATTACTATGCCCACTATGCCATATGTAGTGTTGCCCAAAATAGGTCTTGGTCTTGCAGTCTTGATTGGCAAAAATGCAAGACCAAGACCAAGAAGTAGACCGTCTAATTTTAGCAAGACCAAGACCAAGACTGACCGTGCAAGATTTGAGCAAGAACAAGACTAAACCTGAGAGACTCTTGCGTCTTGCAGTTAGGAATGAGTGTCGTTTCAGGGAGTATAGGAGTTCGGGTATACGCTTAGGGACTCTATGAGACGCAAAAAATATGTAAAAAAAATTTTGGAAAATTGGACTTATGCGCATTACGAACAATACCATAAACATACATAGCGGATGAAAATATCTATTAAAAGAAAAAAAACAGTGCATCCCTAGTTTTGACCATCGGCACTTTGATAGTGCGCGGCGTCTTGTTGGCATCATCAAAGGTCGAATACTGACCTGAAATTTTGCAGCTATTCGGAAGTATACGGTCAAGATACACGCGCCGGCGGCTTCTATTGATATCGCATTCAATCGTCGCCGCCGCGCCGCACGCACTACATTTGACACTGTTTGAATGCCACCACAGAGTACATGTTCCAAAGAATAAAATAAGTTTCCGGGTGCTCAGAATGGACACGAATACATTATACTGATCTCGCAAGGAATATTGTAATTAGATAATGGTAAGGATAGGTAGCTACCATAATAATTTATTCTAGTTAGTAATTATTATAATATTAACTATATGGGTTTATAATAATTACTTAATATTATTATTATTACCTAATAGATAAACATGTTCAATAAGTTCACTGCAAATCTCGATTTTTGGAAGTGTGTGTTTTTGAACACAAAGTGTTCGAATATGTCGTCACCCATTTGATAAATATTGTAGACACTTTTAACACACTTGAAACGTGGAAACATTTTGTATAATGCTAATCGAATAATATAAAAAGTGTGCATATTAAATAAAAAGCGTAAAATAAGATCTATGTACTTTTTAGGAGCCCGAGTATCTCTTAGAGAACCGTTTAAAGAAATTGATTGCATCGAATTGATGTAAATAATAGTGATTTGCACAATTTTAATAGTAGAAATAAAAATAAAATCACAATACCTGCTTTCCGGTTACACAAAGTATATAATGCGTTCTTGGGTAGCGATATACGCTTTTATAATAAGATTCCAAAAGAAATGTTACATCTTTCTTTTCAATTTAAGTCAGACAAAAATGCTTGGAACTGACCTCTCGTACTACACAGGACTAACTAGAAATTTCTAAACCGATTTGATATCTACATATACATTTGACATTTTATGTTTGACTTATCGCTTTACATAATTATAGAACTATTGTAAAAATATTTTGAAAAGAGCAACTACTGAGTTTCTTACTTTCTTCCATGATTCTTCTCAGTAGAATCAGAACCCCTGGACATGGAAAAGAAAAAATTGGGGAAAACAGTGATTCTATGACTATTCAAAAGTGTATTTTAATACCTACTTGAATAAAACATAATTGAATTTTGAATTTCAAAAGAGTGAAGGCAAATTTAATTTAATTAACGTAGATTAATTCAATCACAAGAAGAACATAATATACACAATTTTATTTACATATTTACATTTCATTTTTACGTAGGCACACTATACCTATCTGGCAACGCATCTACTTTATTAATCTTCTGAAGAATCATTAATTTTATCAAAGGATGCCGAACTTTCCTTTGTCGGTCTTTCGGCGTGTACTTACAAATAGTAGTATTTATTTTTTATATTCCTGTATAACTGGAATTTATATAATATATTATAATTATATATATTATATATAATTCCAGTCATTCCCAATTGAGCTTTGCTTCGAGTCTAATGTATTAATTGTTTTTACTCTAATCCTTGTTGTTCTCGGAGTGATAAGTTTACAATTTGACATGAGTGACGAAGAGTCGAATAGTTCTAGTCGGAGTAGTGAGAGTTGGAGTTATAGATCTATTAGACCTAAAAGTAAATTTGATGAGTTTTTCGACATAATTCATGCATCCTAAATTGCTTTGTGTAAATTATGCCAACGTAAAAAAGGTTGAAATAAAAATGAAAAACAGAAACACTTCAGGCTTAAGGAAGCATCTAATATCTTTCCACAAAAAGGAAATCACAAATATTTCTTCCTGAAAAACCAAAATTAAGTGGAGATATCACAAGCTTTTTAATAACCACCGGAAAAAGTGGACAGGTAAGAAAAAATATACTTATCACACAATTACTTAAGTAACACATATATTATGTAACTAGCGGCCGCCTGCGACTTCGTTCGCGTACAATATCTGATTTCCTATGAGATTTTGAAATTTTCTCGCTGCAAAAGTCTTACCTAAGTATAAAGAGGCTATATAGGTAAAGTTTAACTATGCAAGTATTTATTATTTAAAACTAATAAAGTAAATGTCGATCTTCGTATCTATACTTTAAAAATATAGGACTTGCATGTAACCATTTTACCCCAATTTCACCCCCCTTAGGGTTAGGATTTCGTAAAACAGCTTATTCAGGATTTTATTATTGAAAACTTATAACTTTAATGCCGATTTTCGTGTCTCTAACTTCAAAAACGTAGGACTTTCATACAAACGTCCAACTCCCATTTCACACTTTCAGATTTTCTCAAAACCGTTTCTTAACTGATCTCTATGCCATAAAAGGAACCTACCTTACAAACTTCAAGTTTGTATGTTTTATAGTTCCTGAGATATCGTTATAGTCAGTCAGTGAGTGGTAGTTATATATATATATATATATATATATATATATATATATATATATATATATATATATATGTATGTATATATAGATTATAGTGTTAAATATGTATTTATAATTCACTCATATTTTCATTTGTTTTTATAATCGGCGAGACACATGATTTACTGTTTTATTTCAGTCTGAAAATAGCAGTGACAACATCACGACAGCTACAGTTGATTGGATGGTTAAAAAATATCTTCCCTTCTCATTTTTCGATGACGAAGCTACACAAGTATATTTTCGATCAATTTGCCTAAATATGGTGTTTCCTAAAAGGTCCACACTTAGAAGGAAGGTCAAAGAACGGTTTGAAGAGCTTCAATTGAATCTTAAGAAACGACTACAACAATTTTCATCTGAAATGTAATTTACCATTGATGGATGGACGTCAATTGCTGTTTATTATATAGACAACGAATGGAAGTATCGATCTGTAGTCCTTGATTTTATACCATCACGCGGTCGACATACTAGGGAAGATATTGCAACGATTTTCCACGAATGTTTATTGGAATATGACATAATTGATAAAATACAGGGTATCACGGTCAACAACGCAACTGCACATACCAAATTTATGTATGAATTGGACAAACAGGGACTTTATTCAGACAATCAACATTTCCGGTGCTTTGCTCACATTTTGAACCTTGGTGTACAAGATTTATTAAAGACCTTAGCATTACACAGTGAAACTGACAATATGGGACAAGAACAGCTGTATGAAGATAATGAAAGACGAAACTGAGGAAGATGAATAATATGCGCCAAATATTGCTGACTCACGTACAGCTATAACAAAATTACGCAGTATTTTCAGTAAAATAAAAAGAAGTGAGATATTGAAGAGGAAGTTTCAGTCTGCTTGTGAAGCAGCTGGCGTGCCATCAAATCTGAACCCCATACTCGACTGTCCAACGAGAAGGAATTCCACACATGATATGATTGGATTTGGTACAAAAGTGAGAACTGGCATTAACATATTGTGCACTTCTGTCACCGAATTGAATGATTTTCAAATCACAGATAGTGAATGGCAAATACTCGAAAAAATACATAAGTTTCTAATAAACTTTAAACTTCTATCAACGAAACTTGGTAGAGAAAAATATGTTACATTACCGCTAGTCATTGTATCATTCAATCTCTTGCTCGATAAAATTGAATCCATGGTAAAACAATTAGATGAGAAACCTAATCGATCCGAAGTGGATGAAAGGCTCATTCTGGATTTTCAAGCAGCTCGAGACAAAATGCTTAAACATTATAAAAAGAGCAACTGGATTTATTGTGCCTCTTTAATTTTAGACCTAAGACATAAGACTCAGACTTTTGACATGGCATTATGGGGGGAGCAAATTAAAATAGAAAGCCTGCGCAAATTTAATGAACTTTATGAAGAATATAAAAGTCTACACTCAGTGAATCTCTAGAATCACCAAGAAATGAAAAGAAAGTATGTGAATATGATGAAGATGAAGATGTAATAGACTTTGAGAAATTGTATGCATGTCCCTCGACGTCATCTGGATCTGGATCTTTTCATCAAGGCTTAGTTATAGACGAGTTGGAGGAGTACCTAAGTAAACCCAGAGCCGCCAGTTCGGAAGACATTTTAGAGTGGTGGAGGACGCATGAGACTGAATATCCGACTTTATCGAAGATGGCCCGTGATTTTCTTGCAATACCTGCAACTTCAGTACCTGCTGAGAGATTATTTTCTAAAGCATCATTAGTAATTAGAAAACATAGAAATAGGTTAAGTGATGAGTCAGCCAGATGGTTACTTTGTATTAATTCTTGGTCAAAAGAATTAATATAAAGTAACAGTAATGTCAAAGCTGTTGTGTACTGTTATGTAATTTAATTTGTATTGTATTTTATTTATTTATTTAAATAAATGGTAAATTGTATAACTCTTTTATTCCATTTCATATAAGGGTCTATCAATCTCTTTCTAGACAGATAATGTTCTTTATAATACAGTCAAGTTAATGTCATTAATTTGTTTTTTTGTTGCACATTTAAGCTTATTAAATGTAAACGTTTATTAAGAAACAGACTAACTCCCGTGGCCGTGAGACTTGGTAGACAGCTCAGTTGGTTAGAGCATTGGCACGGATCGCTTAGGTCGTGGGTTCAAATCCCACCCGGTATTAGTTGATTTTTCGAATTTCTCATTAAATGTTTAGACATTTATTAATTTGGTTGGTCTTTCTATAGCTATGTTAATTCAAGCTCAAAATTTGCCTACTCTGTTAAGTTGTTCTAAGATCTAAAGTAACGTTTAATAAATAACAATAGGCCAATAGGTAATTGCGTGACTTGCGAGACTCTTGCTGCAAGACCAAGACCACGAACAAGACTGAGAGCGCAATACCAAGACCAAGAACAAGACCAGGTGTATTGGCGCAAGACCAAGACCAAGACTGGCTAAGTCTCGTCTTGTTCTTGCATTTGGGCAACACTAGCCATATGTAAGAGCGATAACCGCACATCCGTTATCCGAGCGCCGTCATCACTGTCGCCGAGATTGTGCATCGACGGACGAAATTACGGTTCTCAACTCTATTAGAAGTTTAATAACTCAACTACATGAATAAATGAAAAAGATGATATATCATAAAAAAATATAATACACGCACACAACATGTCCCACTTCGCTGGCCTGCGCTGAATTCCTTGTGTTTCGTCGTAATTTGTACCACACCCGCATCTCTGCAAAAGCTCTTCATCGATTGTTCCGGATGTGGAGGTTTAAATCAATGCAAAAGTTTCCCTTTTCCTTTCGGATGTGGAGACAAATACTCGCTACATTCCTGGTGTATAATATCTCATTTCTAGGTGACGTTGGTGGTGGGCAAGTGCAAAACATGAACTTGAACTTGATTATCTTATAATATTAACTCAAGCAGTAATAAAATTCTGCTATTTCCAGGAAATTATTTGTTACGTTATGAATGGTTGTAACACGAATGGGTCGGCTCGACAGCTCAAGGCTTCAGTGTTTCGTATGCTGAGTGTAGAGAGACACTTTTTACTGGAAACGAGGCATTCCATCTTAGTCCTCAAGGATGAAAATGCATCTGCATTTTGTTTCTTAATCGAGTTATATTATATGTAGATATTTTTATAGGCCGCAGCAACCACTTATCATCAGATAGACTGTGTGCTCGTTTGGCAGCCTTATTCTATAAAAGAAATTGTAAATGATTTAAATATGACTATGTATTTCAGGGCAAAGCCGGTCTTAACGAGTTGTCAGTGGCGATGAAGGTGGACGTGACCCGCGCCACGCAGGCGGGCTACGTGGGCATGTCCATGAGGACTCGCGTTGCGTTCGGTCCCAACGCGGCTGAGCAGGACTACCGCGCCAGCAACGCGACCAGCCGGCGCGTCTTCACCAACTCCACGCTCGTCATACAGTCGGGGGGACAGTACGACGGTTAGAAGTTTTAAGACAAATTTAATCTGTCTTTATTGCTATCAAAGTTATCATCCTTTACTTTTTACGAATCAGTAAACTAAAGAAAAAGAGAGCAGAAGCAAAGCTTTAAGAACTGACCACCGAAGGGATTGGTTTCCGAGTAACGTAACGGCAGGCTCACAGGTTTACTGTACGGTGGGTACTCGCACTTGCCCTAGATGGAGTGGCAAACTTATGTTCGAAGTTCCAAATCGATCGACGCAGGTAATAAATGGCCGTGCATTCGGTAATCTGTAGGGCTTCGTGTATTGTTGGAGAAACTATATAATAAGTAAAAGAATAAATTTGTAAAACCCAACCCAATCAAGTACAGATTAACGCATTAACGCTAAAATACGTAAAAATACGTACATACATTTTTGAAAAATCTCCCGTGAAAATGAGGGGGTCGGGCCATATCTCACCAGGGAGAGAAGGAGGGTAGAAAAATCGCCAAAATCACCTCACGTAATTAATGGACGTCCCCTTACCACTTCATTTTAAACCGCATCTAAATTAGTTCGGTCATTGTCAAAGTCGAAGTGAAACAGTTTGTTTACGATCCTATTATTTGTCCCGGCGGCGTGGTTCCACCTTTTTTGGCGCGACGACTTTATAAAAATTAATGACAACTTGACCACAGCGCCACCTGTCGATTAAATATAAGTACCTAATCTAAAAAAATTGTTTGTCTTATTTTATCTTTTAAATTTACTAACCGTATTGATATATTAATATGAGTATCGGTAGCAGTATTGTAGCCTATATGCCAGCCTGCGTTAATAATATATAATTAAATAGTGAATTTACAATTTCGTTATAGCTGATTACTGATTACTGACACTTATCTGATCCTAGAATCGTTTTGACAAAACAAATATGTATGTGTGAATATGTAATTACCTCTATCGGTCAAGTTGTAGAGAAGTTATACGATCACTAACGGATGCACCAACGATTAAGATAAAGGATAGGGCTTATATTATATAACTACCTATATAGAACTACTAGACTACGACTTAATACCTATATAGGATAACTTAACCTTGATTATCGTTTACTTTATATTGATCGTCACATTGCGAAGTTTTGAAAAATTATAGACACCATAACCTCAGGTTAATATTTCACATGTGCAAACATTAACTATACAAAATCAAACCATTTTACGTATCAAAATCAATATTCGCAAAAGCTGTATTTTTGTAATTTAGAAGGCACAACGGTGGTGACGCGCACGGTGCACTACGGGACGCCGTCCCGCGAGGTGCGGCGCGCGTACACGACGACGCTGCGGGCGCTGGCCGCGCTGGCCGCGCTGCAGACGCCGGGCACGCTGCCCGCGCCGCACGCCGACCCGGTGGCGCGCGCGCCGCTGTGGGCCGCGCGCCGCGACTACCCCGCGCCCACCGGCCACGGCGTCGGCGCCGCGCTCAACCGCCGTGAAGGTACCCTGAAGCCTTGTACGGACTGAGTGTTCCAATGTACGTGTAGTCGGTTACGCGTACACAGGAACGCTAGTCCGCACCTGCAGCAACGCGTATACGATTTGAGTATGCGTTTCGACTTACGGCGAGTCGTCACCAGTCTGTTTTGGTGGCACAATGAGAAGTGCCGCAGTGGTAGTGCATACGACAGCTGTTTCGAGACACGGCAGATACTGGTTGGTGGCTGGCCGACTTGCGACTTATCACCACGCGTTCATAATCCCGCAATGTATAAAGGTGGCCCTGCCCTGGCCCTGTACTCGTATCCACCTGTACGTGTATTTAAAATACCTAGATTACGCGCACATTGGAACGCTTAGTCCGTACGAGGCTTTACACGCACTACATACCGGCACGGCGTCTTGTTACACACACTATAATACCGGCGGCTTGTTAATAAGCCGCGTATTTTTATACGCTTAGTGTACTCAACCGGCGCAAAGGTACTTTGTAACAGAGAGTATGTAAAAGCGCTATCGTCACGCCACAAGCGAAACGCACCTAAGCCTAAATCACGCTATTAAAGTTCCGAAGTACTAACGGCTCTGTACTGTACTAATAAACTTAACACGTGGATCGTTGGCCGCTCCCGGGCTAAACACCTTGCCCGAGGGATCTTCCCTTTTCCTTCCACGGCCAAAAGTACAATACCAGCGTAAAATAGCAGTAACTATGCTGTATTTCCAGTGCTGAATGTACTGCGAAGATGTTAGAAAAAGTACAATATCAGCGGTGAAATAGAATTAGAATCATAATGCTGCTATTTCGTATGCAGAGTGAACTCAACCGGTACAGATGGGTACAGACATAGATATAAGAAATATATTTCTTACCTTGTTAGAGAGAGTACAATACCAGCGTAACAAGTAGAATAAAACATTAGGTAATACTGCTTTTGAACTCTTGTCAAGATTGCGGTTGATTGGAAATGTCAGCCTTTTTAATGCTTCAATACCTGTGAAGGAGAAGGGGGAAGAGTTGTCCTTTTCTGAAGAGGAGCCGCCATGAGGTGGCCGGCGCTGGTAAGGTTATGAATGTGTGCGTAAAGCGTTCCCGTGACTCCGCCAATATGTAGCATAGGTAACACCATGAAGCTTTAACAGTTGCAAGTCCGACATTTCCCATCCTAGCCCCCGTGAGGCAATATGTAAAAATAAAAATAATCCAAGAAGTAGAATACATAGATATGAAAGACTTTTCTTTTCATAAAGTAATGCACGGAAATGTTCAGCAGTATACTCACTTAACTAGTGCTCAAAACAAACGAATAACTTTTAATATTTTATTGAAGTTGATTTAATTAAAAAAATTAAACTATTTTTTCATGTTATTTTAACAATTCACTATTCCAACAATGTATTTAATTTTAAGTATTACTGGGGCAAAATAAAGATTTTTGATTTTTTTGATGTTTTTAGATCCGGTTGTTATAGACTACAGGCAAGATACCAATTTACATACTTTTAGAGAGGGGTACTTCGTTACAAGCGGTTAGTATTGGTAATTCCTTTCGTTTATAAAAACCTATCACGTGCTGCACAGTTATTAAGCTGTGAAGTGATCTCTTGGTTTCACAACTCGATGCAACTTACGATAACATTATTTTTCAGAACCAGCATGGTACGAACCTAAGAAATTTGGTATTAAGTTGGGAAACGTTTTGGAAGTAGTGGCTCTGTCGAACGGATATTTAGGCTTTCGCGAGGCGACACTGTTACCTTATGAGCCTAAGCTTATCGATCGGAATTTGCTAACCGATTACGAGGTAAGACACTCTTTTATAAATTACAGTTGGATCAAAAGTAAAAAGTAAAAGTATCGAGCCCACAAAAAGGATATCCACATGAGTTTTTAACAGTAATTAAAGTAACAATTATTAAAAAAAGTTAGGAAGTGGTCGTTAGTTAAGAAACCATCAAGGTTGAATATTTAGAGTATATTATATATTATGAATGTATATTTTATATTATGAAGTCTGCCAACACGCACTAAATCGGCACGGCGGAGTATATCATAACCCTTTCAGAAATGAGAGGACACCTATGAGGCACATTTTTTTTACTTCAATATAACATTCTATAAAAAGCTGACCTCTTGTCCTGACCCTCCACTTAAACAACTTGGTAATCTTCAAAAATTTATTTTCAAATTCAGTTTTTCGTCACCGCTCACATTTATAACTCAACAAAAATTGCCATTTAAACTTTAGTGAATCGTAATTTTACGAGTAGGATCCTACGTTATAAGTATTTAATAATAGTTTAACAATTTGTTATCTAACTTTTTTACGTGGTAGATCTATGCTGTAGTTACATTAGTAGTATTTGTTATTTATCTTCTTTTTAAAAACGTTACCCCTACATTAAGATTTTCTCCTGTATCGTGGGGGCAGTTTACAAACATAAATTGCACAAGGACAAACATCCAGACCCGAAACAACTATATGTAGGCCATACAAATACTTGTTCCGTGCAGGATTCGAACACACGACCCCCAAGCGCAGCTACTCATTGCTAAGCCACTGCGCCACGGAGTATAGTTGTAGCACGAATGGGTCGGCTCGACCGGAGAAGGACTACGCTCTCACAGAATACCAGCGTCAAATAGCAGCTTAATGCTGCTTTGTTTCGTGTGGGAGTGTAGAGAAACGGAGACCCTTTTTACTGGAAACGAGGCCTTCCATCTTAGTTCTCACGGGTGACCACGCATCTGCATTTTGATTCGTAATAGGGGATAGATGTAGACGTCTATAGGCCACAGCAACCACTTACCATCAGGTGGACTGTGTGCTTGTTTGTCACCCTATCCTATTAAAAAAACTTATCTGATAAAATAAGCGTTACTTGGGGCAAAGCTAAAACCAATGAGGTTTTGTACGTGTTCTTTTAGTAAGGTGATCTAATGTGAGCTCTTTATCTATTAATGAAATCATATTCTCTGCAGTTAAATAAATGTGCAAAAACAATTTAAAGTTCTTTTAATGTACAACAGTTACTTTATAATGCCTTACGACTGTATGTAATACGTTTTACATATTAACGTTTAAATGCATAATTAAAAAAAGACCAGCTATGGGAAGTAAAAAGGCTACATATTATAGATACTAATTTCTGGTGCTGCTCCATTGCGTGATGGTGGATTTCATATGTCCTCAAACTGTTTCATGTCTCGAATCTGTAGGCTTCCTCACGATGATTTCCTTCACCGTTGAGCAATTGGTATTATCATTCACACTTAAAATGCAAAATAATAATTTTATTGATGTTGGCGGTGTACGCTGTAATGATCATAGCTCTAATATTTAATTACTAAAAAGAGATTTAATACTCGGAGTAACAAAAACGATTCTGTGTGCTCGTTTGTCACTTCCATACTATAAAAAATTAAAAAATAGTGATAAGTGGGTACATTTTGTTACCCGTTCAACTTCCTTAAGTCATTCCAGCTTGCCCTGATCTGCTTGTGCTTGTTTCTCCATCTAAAGACGTTTCCTATCGATTTTGATCATGGTGATAACTTCCGAAGCGTGGCAACCATGACAAGTATCCCCCTATGAGGCAATCTGCAGGAGAGACCCGTGTTCAGCGGTTTACATGACTTTAACGCTAATGAATAACTTCCTAATACTATCCAAAGCTATGTTATGTGGTATGTCTTGAGGCTGTACCAGAGTGGTCTGAAAAGTTTCCGACCTCAACGTGAAGATGGCACCACTCGTTAATAAAAGTTAGTGAATGTAGTTGTGAATCATTTGATAGTTACGCGCCAAAATTCAGCCCAGTAGAAATGTCGTGTTGTTAGGTCGGTAACTTTTCAGACGACCCCTTTGAGTATGAATACTCAAAGAGATCACCCATGTGTCTGCTTTTTTGATTGAAATAATTACACATGTGTTATAATTTTAAGATTAACTGGTTGAACGCGTACAACGAGCGAATAAGGAAGACTGTGGGCCCCGAACTGAATGACCAAGGACTTACCGACGTCTATTACTGGATGATGAACAAGACTGTATACATCGAATCCCCGTCTAAAGCCAAGATCCACGCCAGTTCAGCCGAAGCCAATAATTATAGACGAGGAATTATGACTATTACCTACAGTCTTATACTCGCTAAAACATTCTTGTAAGCGCTTTAAGGTTTTACAAGAATGTATTCTTATTCAAAAATAATAATCTTTTAAGAATATCTTTCCCAAGATTTAGTGTAAAATAAGAATGCATGATAGCAATACATATAAAAATATTCTTGTAGTTATTTATATTGGATAAATGTATAGCGGAGAAGCAATAAAAAAAAGTAAATCATAATTTAGGAAACAAAAAACTTAATTACGGGGTTTTTTATTATAAAATAAGGTTGACAAACGAGCACACAGTCCACCCGATGGTAAGTGGATGTTGTGGCCTATAGACATTTACATCTATTCTCGATTAGGAATTAAGATGCAGATGCTTTGACGACTCAGACGGAATGCATCGTTTCCAGTTAAGAGGATCTCCATTTCTCTATACTCATCATACGCATCACACAGCAGCAATAAACTGCTTATTACCTGTAACTCTCCCTATTATTACATTTATAGTAAACAAGTCGATCGAAACCAGTGCATTCCCAACGCAATGGAAAAGAGCTCTAGTCAAGCCCATTCCTAAAAAGAACAAAGCATGTGAACTAAAAGATCTGCGCCCTATCTCGATCCTCCCGGTGTTGTCTAAAGTCTTAGAAAAGATTATACTTTGTCAAATGCTAAATTACTTAGAAACGAATAACCCCCTACCAAAGTTTCAATCAGGGTTCAGAAAAGGGCATGGCACGGAAACTGCCCTCTTAAATGTCACTGACGATCTAACAGAGGCCTCCGATATGGGATTGAGCAGTATTATGGTGCTGTTGGATTACACGCGGGCTCTTAAATAAATTAGAGCACTATGGCTTTTCTAAAGACACATGTAGATGGTTTCAGACATTCCTATCCAACAGAGAACAAATTGTGGTAACAGGTGGATGCAATGGGGCAAGAAATTCTCCTCTCTACGGAAAATTGTAAGAGGAGTACCCCAAGGCTTCTTACTCAGTCCTATTTTGTTCTCTCTGTACACAGCAGACCTACCTAAGCAAATAAAACATTGTAAATACCATTTATACGCAGACGACACCCAGCTGTATTATTGTTTTGACCCCAGGGATGTTAAAGAGGCAATAAACAGAATAAATGAGGATCTCCATAATATCCAAACCTGGTCCCAAAAAAATTCTCTAGTATTAAACGCAACTAAATCACAAGTACTAGTTTTGGGCACAAAAAACCAAATAAAAAGTATTTTAGACAGCTAGGATACGATTAAAATAGAAAATGAAACCTTGACACAAGTAAGATCCGCTCGTAATTTAGGGCTTATACTAGACGGAGAGCAGAAATTTGTAGAACACATCAATAACAAGATAAGAAGTTCGTACTTTAAACTTAAAACTTTATACAAAATAAGACCGTATATTAAAGAGGACCTACGCTTTCTCTTGTGTCTCATTGGTGTTATCACAATTGAGCTACTGCAGCTCAGTCTTTGGCCCTAAATTGTCAGCTAATACCGAAAGAGAGATACAGAGAGTACAAAATGCATGTGTTCGATACTGTTGTAATGTACCAAGAAGACAATTTATAACCCCATACTTAAATAAAAAATGCATACTCAATATGGGCGCCAGGAGAGAATTACACTATGCTTCGATAGTCCAAAAGGTAATTTGGAACAAAAAGCCAGAATACCTACCTAAAATTCACCTGGATCAAAGATATTTCCTGTCGAAGTATCCGTTCTCACACACAAATGCTCCTCCACACACCCGCACACAAAACAGCAAGATATAGAAGTTGTTTCAAATTCACTGCAGCGAGAATTTGGAATGACATCCCTCCACCCATGAGAAAGAAAATGTCAATAGATTGCTTCAAAGCCAAATATAAATTGGCTCTGTTAAAAAGACAACTCGCTGAATCTGAAACATCCCTATGTTAAGTTTTACATTTACGGGACTTTTTTGTCAAAAATTAATGGATACACACACACACACACACACACACACACACACACACACACCACACACACACACACACACACACACACACACACACACACACACACACACACAAACACACACACACACACACACACACACACAAACACACACACACACACACACACACACACACACACACAAACACACATACACACATACACACACACACACACACACACACACACACACACACACACACACACACACACACACACACACACACACACATATAACAGTTCAAAGAAAGGAAAGTTTATTTTATATTTTCTATTTCTCATGTTGTTTTTGAATCTGTTGTTAGTTCATTTCGTAATAGTTGTTTTTAGCATATTTTTAAATGTTTTTAATCTTTTTTTTGTATTTGCGATTTTATCATTTAATTACTTTGTACGTAGTTTAAAAGTATAAGTCAGGTAAATGGGGAGCCTGCTACTTTGGACTCCCGCACAACACCTCAGGGAGGAGGGAGGGGGAGCGGCTGAAAAACAGCTCTGTATGAGATCTGTATCTCGTTACAGACAAAGCTGAACCGTCTCCTTTTGTCTCAAATAATTATAATATTCTTTTGTTTTAACGTGAATGTAACTGTGTGTTTTAGAGGCAATAAAATTTATTATTATTATTATTATTACGCTGGTATTTCTGTGAGAGCGCGGTCCTCCCCGATCGAGCCAATACCCTT